CCACAACCTGGGCACATGCCCCGACTGGGAATCAAACCTTGACTTCCTGGTTCTTGGGCCCATGTTCATCCACTGAGCAACACCGGCCACGCATATCTCTTTCTTTTGTGGCAATTATTGGAGCTTTATTAGTTGCCTTAGGTGTTGTCACATTTTCTTATTTCTTTATGAGCCTTACCTTGCATTGGTATCTGTACATATAAGTGGTCTCCTCTTACAGACTTTATAGGTTTGTATCAGCAAGAAAAGACCATCTTTCAGCTCAGCTTGGGAACTGGGTGGGCCAGCCAGTGGTATCCATGGTCTCTTGAAGTTTGTTGTCAGGGTGTCTAGTTGGGTGGGGCCTCTACGTGTGCTTTGAGGAGTTGATTGCTGATGGCTGGGCTCCACATTGAAGCAGGGCCACTAGCTGGGCTCTGCAGTTACCTCTAGTCAGGCGGGTCCTTGGCAGGGCACTGTCACTGGTTGGACCCTATGATTAGGGAGGCCTTTGGGCTAGCTCCACAATTGCTCCTGGGTGGGTGGGGTCTCCGACTATGCCTCTTGATCAGATGGTGCCACTGGTGGATTCTGTGCAGGCAGGGCTTTGGGGTTGGACCTGGGCTCAGGCTGTGCTCTGTGACCAGGTGGGCACACAGGTGTGCAGGCTTGCCTTTGTGCCAGGTAGGCCCGTAGGCCGCTGGCTGTGCTCCACTGTTGAGCAAAGTCTCTGGCTGGGCTCTCAGCCAGGAGGAGCCTCCAGCCGTTGGGTGGGGCTAAGACTGTGCTCTGCAGTTGGTCGGGGTCACTGTCTGGATGAGGCCTCAACCTCTGTGTTGCATTTGGGCAGGGCTGTAGGCCGGGCTCTGTGGCTGCCTAGGTCACTGTTGAGGCTCCCTCGCTGTGCCCAGCAGTTGGACAGGTGCTGGTTAGGCTCCCTGCCTGGGTGGGGCTGCAGGTGGGCCCATCCTGTTCCCGGTCAGGCTTCCTGGACGGTTGGGACTGGAGGCTCTGCTTAGCAGTTGAGCAGGGCTGCAGATGTGTCTCCTGCCTGGGTGTTGCTATCTCCACAGCTGGCTTCGGCCATTGCCTGGGGATCTAAATCGGGCCCCCGGTGGGCTGTCCCTGATTGGGACCTCTACTTATGTGCTGCTGCAGGCAGGAGTGCGGTCCACCAAGATCTTAGTGCTGCACAGCACATGATTGTCCAACCACTCTGCTGTACACCTGAAACTAATGCAAAAATAACGTTGAATGTAAGTGGAAAAAAAGATTTGAGTGCTGGTTGCTGAAAGCCCTGCCCCTACTCCTCTGATTTCCCGTGGGAAGGCCCAGGCAGTCTCCCAGGCAGCACCCCACAATTCTGGAGTTGGTCGGGGTCACTGTCTGGATGAGGCCTCAACCTCTGTGTTGCATTTGGGCAGGGCTGTAGGCCGGGCTCTGTGGCTGCCTAGGTCACTGTTGAGGCTCCCTCGCTGTGCCCAGCAGTTGGACAGGTGCTGGTTAGGCTCCCTGCCTGGGTGGGGCTGCAGGTGGGCCCATCCTGTTCCCGGTCAGGCTTCCTGGACGGTTGGGACTGGAGGCTCTGCTTAGCAGTTGAGCAGGGCTGCAGATGTGTCTCCTGCCTGGGTGTTGCTATCTCCACAGCTGGCTTCGGCCATTGCCTGGGGATCTAAATCGGGCCCCCGGTGGGCTGTCCCTGATTGGGACCTCTACTTATGTGCTGCTGCAGGCAGGAGTGCGGTCCACCAAGATCTTAGTGCTGCACAGCACATGATTGTCCAACCACTCTGCTGTACACCTGAAACTAATGCAAAAATAACGTTGAATGTAAGTGGAAAAAAAGATTTGAGTGCTGGTTGCTGAAAGCCCTGCCCCTACTCCTCTGATTCCCCGTGGGAAGGCCCAGGCAGTCTCCCAGGCAGCACCCCACAATTCTGGAGGACCCTGGGTGTGCACCTCGTGCTGTTCTCCCTCTGGAGAAACCACAGTGGGAACCTCTCCCTGGGGCTGTGCTGGCCTGAGGGCGGGTCATTCGGTCAGTGTTACTACTCCTTGGCCTCTAGTGCCGTCCTCTCTGCCCCGGGTCCAGGAGGGGGTTCCAGCCTCACCTGTGGGTTCTGGGATTTTCACAGTGTCCTGTCTAGGTAGCTGCTAGTTAGTCATTTTGTGAGGGCACTGAACTTGGGGATAATGTACCAGTATGTTGCCACCTTGATGTGGTCACTGAAATCACTCTGGTGTTGAAGAAAATCCAGCTGCATGGAGTCCACATAGAACTTCCCAGCCACAGCCTCTCCCCCTCCCATGATCAGAACTCGTCCCGTCCTGTTCTTCCATCTCTTTTGTGACTCATCAGGGTGGCCCTTTATCCTGCTTTGATGTGGTAGAGAATATTGGGGGATGAAGAAGATACACTGGTTACAAAACCACTTACTCCAACCCCACGCTTCCACCTGGCCCTGATTCTGTGTGCACGTTCGTTGGCCGGGTCCCGGTTGCTTACCTGTTCACGGGCCAGGGAACAGGGCCAGTGTTGGTACCTGTGTGGTGGGAAAGCCTGAAGCCTCCTGGTCACTAGCTGTGGCGGCTCCTGTGAGGAGGGCCGGCTCTTCGGTTATGCAGGGAAGTTTTGCATAAACCTATTGTTACTTTGTAATTGAAGAACATGTTTTGCTCATTTTAGGTATAATTAAAGAATCTGGTGCAAAGCACAAGGGATTGGTTGAAATACCCAACCTTTCTGAAGAAAATGAAGTAGACGACACTGAGGTATAGTATCTGTTTCCTTGTTTGTAATATCAAGCTCCTGCTATAGATGGAGGAGGTTTGAAAAACTGTTGATCAGACAGCGATTCCTGCAGTTTCGGTCAGTGTGGAGGGCTTGCTTGCTCAGGCAGCATGGGGTGTGGAGCGGAGCAGAGGGTGTAGGAGAGTAAACGGAGGCAGCCCTAGACTGCCCCCCGACCAGTGTGGGGCCTGGGCCTGCAGTCCGTGGTCTCATCCGTGAGACGGGATGGATTCGGCTCTCGGTGTTTTCAGGTGAATGTGACGTCTGCGGACTGTCCGGTGTCAGGGAGCATGCGGTTTGGTGGAGGGGTTGTTTCTCCTCCCCTGCATCTTCGCTGTTTCCCTTTAATAGTGAGAATCCTCAGCTGTTGGCTGTGATCTCCCTTGGCTATATCGTATGTTTTTCGTAAACTAATTAGCACGTATTGGTTCTGACTGGCTCTCTGTTCTCTTGGTGATGGAGCCTGTGTGGTGAATTCTGACCTTGGTTTTCAGCCAGTGCCTCCTGGAAGCTGAAAGCTGGTTCTGGGGAGAGACCGTTTGTACAGCAGCTGTATTTTCCAAACCAAATAGTTTGACAAAATGTCTTTTTTGATTTGTGAAACTATTCAGTGTGAAGGCTTTCAAAGATATGAAAACTAAAACATACTGGGCAACAGTCTATGACAGTGATGGAGAACCTATGACATGCGTGTCAGAGGTGACACGCGAACTCATTTTTTTGGTTGATATTTCTTTGTTAAATGGCATTTAAATATATAAAATAAATATCAAAAATATAAGTCTTTGTTTTACTATGACTGCAAATATCAAAAAATTTCTGTATGTGACAGGGCACCAGAGTTAAGTTAGGGTTGTTCAAAATGCTGACACGTCCAGCTCAAAATGTTCGCCATCACTGGCCTAGCTCATGCCTCCTTACAGTTCACCTCCCTCTGGCCTCACTTGTATAAGGTCCTCCTTCCTGGCCCCACCCAGATGCCCCCCAGAAGGATGCATGTGTGCCCTGAGCTCCCACTGTGCCCCCACACACTTC